TCCTTGCCATCTATCCCAGAAGTTGCAGGTCAAGGGAGGTGATTCTGCTTCTCTACTCTGCTCTCATGAGTACCTGGAGTACTTCATCCAGCTCTGGAGCCACCAATACAATACAAGAAGGACGTGGACCTGTTGGAGTGGGTCAAGAGGAGTACATGATCCACAAAGATGATCAGGGGGCTGAAACACCTCTTCTGCGAGGACAGGCTGAGAGAGTTGGGGTTATTCAGCCTAGAGAAGAGTAGGCTCCAGGGAGACCTTATTGAGGCCTTCCAGTATCTGAAAGGAGCCTACAAGAAAGCTAGGGAGGGACTTTCTGCAAGGGCTCGTAGTGATAGGTTGAGGGGTAATGGGTTCAAACTGGAAGATGGGAGATTTAGATTAGATGTAAGAAAGAAGTTTTTCACTATGAGGACAGTGAGACACCAGAACACGTTGCCCAGGGAAGTTGTGGATGCTCCATCATTGGAGATATTCAAGACTAGGTCGGGTAGGGCCTTGTGCAACCTGGTCTAGTGGGATGTGTCCCTGCCCACATCAGGGGCATTGGAACAAGATGATCTTTAATGTCCATTCCAACCCACACCATTCTATGATTCTATGTTTTCTGACTGTCAGCACTACTGGCTTGTGCTGTCAGGATATAGATCTTGCCAGTGTGTATGAAGACGATGGTAATAATCAGCCTCCTTCCAGTGACTTAACCAGAGTCCTGACAGCATTCGTCAGCACAGGGTACAGATCCTTCTCTTGGCTCCTTCAAAATAAACAACTATATAAATTGTAAGATGATTATCATCAGAGCTTATTAGCTTATTACCACACGCTGCTTTGTATTCAGACAATAGATAAAAAAGTCTGTACTTCGTTTTTCTCAGTCAGATCTACAGCAAGCACGCTTATTCTTGCTCCTGTCTGAGGAGGATGATGTCAGTAGTCTTGCCAAAAACATGTGAAATGCAGCCCAAGCCTTGTGCACTTGCCTGTAGCGCTATAATGAGCCAGCACGGAAGCTCTGCACACCTTTGGGAGTGTTTAATGTTTTCCAGGAAGTGACATATGTTGTTTATAAGGTTTGATTTATTGGCTGGTTTAGATGATAATCTTGTCAAGACATGAGATGTCTTCTTTCTTTGGTTATCAGGGCAGGTGGAGGTGTAGAAGGATTGAAGCTTTTGGAGGGTTTGCATTATGTACCTGCGTGTTAGGAGCACAAGACCTGCCGTCTTGGTAGGAGGAATGTTTCCATGAGCAGTAGAAAAAGCCCTGCAGAAACATCTAAACTCGTTGTCTTTTGACTTTCAACAGAAGTTTTCATCTGTTCATGCTAGCATCACCCATAATATGGAGGGTTTTGTTCAACAAACCAGCTTATGGTTCTTGACTTTTTTTTTGTTGTTGTTCAGTTCAGTTCTTGCTGTTCTCCCCAGGCTACATAACACTCAGTCTGGTAGTTTAGACACGCAGTATGATCCAGCTTCTGGAAACAATGGGAAGCAAATGCCCCAATTCAACCCATAAGCGTGTTGGGCAGAGTCACAGTTTGTACAATGGGCTAAATATTATCCTAGTATTTTGGGGAGGGTTTCATGCAAGATAAGCTTGAGGCTTCTTAGGAGCGAGTTAAAGGGGCTGGTGCAAAATGTCAATGAAAATGTAATGCTTGTCTGCCGGGCAGTAGCTTGTGGGTTTGTGATGAGGTCAAAAAATGGCACACAAATGGAGCATGGTTCTCACAGCTGCAGCCTGTGCCCCACCGCCTCGGTAACAATCGGCCTTTCATACCGCCCGGACGGAGCCGCTCCGCTCTGAAAGCAGGATGGGGGGAATCTTGGGCATGGGCAAGGCAAAAAATTGTCATCAAATGTGTTAGGAGGGCCAGGCTTTTAGCCGGGATCTCTGTCCTAAAGAGCTTCTGAGATCATCTGACCTGAGTAGGATTACACAGAAAGAAAGCTTAGTCTTCCAAGCAAAAAATGAGAAATTTCATTGAGGTTTGTAGGTTTCTGTGCAGGCAAGCATGCTGTTTGTTGATGTGTGATTTTGTAAATATGAGAAAGTTGCTTAGTCTCCCCAAAATGGGGGTAAAAAAACTTTCTTTGGGATTATGATGAGGAACTTTAATAAGACTGATAGACAGCCTAGCGTGGTGCTTGGTCTCCTCTTCCTTCATCACGTGCTGCTTGTAGTGGAAAATTTTGTTGTTCTCAAGAATTTTTTCTCCAAACATAGTTTAGAAACAAACAGACTTGATCATGTCTCTTCTTGCTTTGAAAATTTTGGCTTGTCTCAACTTGGACAAAAGGCCTTTGCTGTTCTAAGAAGCCTCAGCGATCTCACCTCTGTGATCACCCTCTTTCTCCCTCTTACGGGGTTTTCTTTCTAGAGGAGAAACTAAGACAGTTCGTATACATTTAGTTCAAGGAGAAATATCCAGTACATGACCATAATTAGCAGTCAAGGCATTTAACCTGCACACAATGTAATGATGCATATGGCAAGTTATTCTCGTGTTTGCAGAAGTATCTCAGTTGCAGCCTCTACCTTATCACACATAATGTGGTGCTGGGGAGGATGGAGGACAGGACATTCCCTCACTTAAAAATCGAGGGTTTTTTCTCTTTAGACATTGAGCTGTGACTGTAGGTGGGAATGTAACTCCCAGAGTTGTGTCCTGCTGGCACTAGTTGGATTATGCTACGGTGATCAGAGGCAAGAAGTAGCAAGAAGGCATTGTTCTCATGCTTACCTGAAGGAGAGAAAAAGCATATGGTGAATCACTCAAGTTTCATTTTCTTAATACTGTCTTTGAGCATTGCTATGGTTTGAATGGTGCCCTCATGGCATGCTTCAGGTCGCCTTGCTGACACTGAATGGTTTGGGAGGTTAGATTATGGCTCAAATTCCACAGGCTGCTTTGGCCTGAGGATCTTTTCTCCATAAGTAAAACTTAAACTCAAACGTGAATGTTCACAACTCAGTTTTATTTTGTCTTCTTGAATGCACTTATCTACATATGTGGTAAGGTGTGCATCTGTAGTGGGGGGAGAGGAGAAAGTGGTTAGTAGAGCTGTGAAAGGACTGTGAAAAGCCCTTTCTCAAGGGATGAGTTCTCCAGCATACAGTAAGGAACATGGGACACCCAGGCACGTGCCTTTATGGTTCAATAATTTGGATTAAACTGAAACAGTGATTTAGGGAAAAGAAACTAGAAAATAAACTTGGAATTCTGACATCTTCTTCAAAACAAAATCAAACCATTAGAGGGTTATGCTCTTCTCTGTGTGAAAGATGGTCCAAGCTGGCTTTTGGGCCTCTTTGGAAATGAAGAGTGAAAGTGCTTTGTTTGGAAAATATCAAAATGAAAGAATTTCTGTGGGGAAAATGAATAATTATATAATATAGGCTGAAATAAAATTATATTAGTTGATGGCTCAGCTTGGCACTGTGCCTGCAGCAGCCCAGCAATCTCAGCTCTTAAGCACCTCCTGGGCCAGCTGTGGCCCTGAGTGTATCTACCTTGCTCGGTGGTTTCTAAGAATGAAAATATTTAAGTTCTCTTCTTAATGAAGAAATATCCCTGAAGTTACCGGGAAAGCCTCCAAAACCTTGTGTGGAGTAGTGGGGTTACAGATCGGGAATCCAACACTTTATGGAGGTTCCTGCAGAGCAGCCAGTCCAGAGCAGTCCTTATCCCACCTCAGCGCTGACCCCAGCCATTGTCTGCAGCCCAAAGGGCATGAGCAAAACCAAAATGGATGGGAGCAGATGCCTGCAGAAAGTGCCACCAAAGCTGCTTCTGCACTGTGTGGCTTGTGTCAAGAAAACCAATACCAAGGAAATCAACTGCCCTCTCTTGAGCCTTATCATTAGAATGGCTTGGTGGTATTTTTTTTAAATTTTATTTTTTACAATCTGAAAAACCTCCACAAAAATACAATGGACATTCAGATTTGGGAGATGGGCACCCATTGCCCATGTGATGTGAGAGAGCATCACTGTTGCCCATGGGTAGCAGGCAGGAGGAGGGCACTACCTTCTGCAGCATGCGCCCGAAGCCTCTCGCCTGGCTGACGCCTCAGTTAGCGGGCACTGCTGTGGAGTGTTGAAGCGGGCCATGGAGCAACGGCTGCCTCTTCTTCTTTCCCCACACAAATGTGCCGTTGCCCAGTTGCAGCTGGTGAATTGTTTTCTTCTTTCTTTGAAGAGTTAGTTCCTCCATGGCTCACCCGAGATGAGGGGAGTAGTGTGATGGTGCTGCAGGGGAAGCTGCTCTCCTGGCTCTTAGGGCTGTGTCCCAGCCACAGAAACCAGCCTTCCTGCCACACCAGGGTGGGTTTCTTTTGTCGTTTTTTTAAAAAAAGGCAAAACAAAAAGCACCTGTTGTTTCTGGCATGCCGCTTTCTTGTTTTTATTTCTCAATCTTGAAAAAGAGGGAGAAGAAAGCAGCAAAGTGCATTTTTGTCTGCTAGAAGGACCTTTAACTCTGGTTTCATTCATCACCACTGATTCTGCCTCCAAATCTGGCCCCTGGATGTAACACACCATTTAATGTTTGCTGTACCTTGGGTTAAGCAGTGAGGATTAGCATGGCTCTGGCTCATCAATGGGATTTGGTCACAAGCAACTGGAAATTATCTGGAGCTTGACAGATGTGCTGAGCCAGGGTGCTTTTTGGCATGGCAATGTGGGAAGCCCTTATAGGAATGGTATTCAGATGATAAAAGTTTTGCACACGCGTTTGGTGGCAATTGGTGATTCTTTTAGACAAGGCAGGAGTAAACAAGCCACAACGGTGAGGTTGTCTGCACTTCTAAGTGCTGGGTCTGAATTGTGTTAGAGCTGTTGGGGAAGGTAGGTGCTGCTGCTCCTGTCCAAAAGGACTTCAGATGTCAGTACTGCCTTCGTCCTCAATTCTTAGGCAGCAGGTAAAAGCTGCCTTGTGCATGTTGTCCTCCTTCCCTTGTTAATCAATGATCAGAGGTGATCTCTTTCTCCTGCAGGTTTAGCATACCAGAAACATGGCTACAAGTGCCGTTCCCAGCGAAAACCTCCCCACGTACAAGCTGGTGGTGGTCGGAGACGGTGGCGTGGGGAAGAGTGCTCTCACCATTCAGTTTTTCCAGAAGATTTTTGTGCCAGACTATGACCCAACTATTGAAGACTCCTACCTGAAGCACACAGAAATAGATGGACAATGGGCAATTCTTGATGGTAAGAAAGCTACTCTTATGGTCCTATGTTCCTTTTAGCCAAGCAGAAGTGCAAATAGACCTGAATGCCTCCCATAACGTGTTGTGCCCTTGTGTCACTCCTACTCCACTGTGGGCTGCCAGGAATTTGAGTGCAAACTGGCTTGTGAGCTGTGGCACGTGGTCTGCAGCTGATCTCCAGCAAAGCTTCTGCTTCCACTTGTATTTGTTCCAGTTCTGCACAGAAACATTTCTTGAGGGAGTGTAAAAACCTATATATCATTATAGACATTTGGGGCAGGCTTCTACGAAGGGTGAATTATAGCACTGGGGGGTGGCTATTGCTAATGATACCTCATCGTGGTTAGGCTCATCCCCTGGGAAATAACAGTGAGTGTGTAACTGAATGAGGGTTGTGACCAGAAAGAACATTTAATCAAAACTGTCACCCACTGACAGTGAAGAATTATAACACCTCTTAACTCCCATCATTCAGGTGTGATATTTTCATATCTAGTTACCTGTTAGATTTAAACGGGTAGGGTACCATCCTGGAGATCTGCTGTTACCAAGACTTTTCAGTTCTTGGAAGAAAAAAACA